AGAGTTGAAGTTGGATGACTGGTTGTTTGCACTTATTATTATTAGCATTATTATTAATCCTCTACTTCAGAGCTTTGTTGATCACTAGGAAAGACTGGAATAAAATCTCCTCTGCAGTTTTGTAATTTGGCTGGTGGGGTATATTTGTCTTCAAAACCCTGGCAAGTGCCACAGCTGGGGTAAGGAACCACAGAGTCATAGAATCATAGAATGGCTTGGATTGGAAGGGACCTTAAAGATTATCTAGTTCCAAACCCCCCTGCATGGGCAGGGACACCTCCCACTAGACCAGGTTGCTCAAAGCCCCATCCAACCTGGCCTTGAATGCTTCCAGAGAGGGGGCATCCACAACTTCCGTGGGCAACCTGCTCTGGTGTCTCACCACCCTTACACTAAATAATTTCTTCCTAGTGTCTAACCTGAATCTACCCTCTTCCAGATTAGAACCATTACCCTCGTCCTGTCACTACAAACCGTGGTGAAAACCCTTCCCCAGCTTTTTTGTAGCCCCTTCAGGTAGTGAAAGGTCTTCCTGAGGTTCTTCTCCAGGCTGAACAGCCCCAATTCTCTCAGACTGTCTTCACAAGAGAGGTGCTCCAGTCCCCTGATCATCTTCATGACCCTCCTCTGGACTTGCTCCAAGCTCTTTATGTAGGAGGGCAGGATCACTTCCCTTGGCCTGCTGGCCACACTTCTTTTGATGCAGCCGAGGACACAGTTGGCTTTCTGAGCTGCAAGTGCACATTGCTGGCTCATATTGAGCTTTTCATTGACCAACACTTCGAGGTCCTCCTCCTCAACGCTGTTCTCAATCCATTCTCCACCCATGGAAGCAGATGCCCTAAGCAGTCACATCTCGTGGGGCACAAATTATCTCACGTGGTGTGTCCTGCCCACACACCTAGGGTTAAAAACATTCTCACATGTGAAGTGAGGAGGAAATTCTTCTGTAGGTCAGTGTGGCAGGGAGGGATGAGAAGGAGGGTTTTTTTCTATCCTGTGGCCCATTTCCAAGGATCAGTTGAAAACTGGAAGGACTGAAGAAACTGGTCATGATCTCAATTTCTCCTCCTCACTTCTTGTGACACCATGAGATTGTGGCTGTTGGTCACCAGCTGTGGATAGATAGAAGATAATGTTTTTTGGCCACAGCATGCTGTAGCATATGGAGTAAGTCTTATTTGCACATTGCAGATCTGGGCAGCTTTTCCAATGCCAGTCCCTGCTTGTGAGAAACTGGATGCTGCTACTAACTTAGACCCTCACTGCCTGTGATACAGGTCATGGCCTTTCCTTGAGGAGGAGAAGAGAGTTGACTTTGTGCTTTGGCTATACCACATCTGATATTAGAAAAAGCCCATCTGGGTTGTGCAAAGAAGTCCTTATGGCTGTAGCAGGCCAGCTCCTTACCACAAGGAAAGTCAAGGACAGTTGGAAGTTGACTTTGCTTCTCTTGTGGGCTACTTGAATTCAAATCTGTCCAGAAGTGGTGTGGCTGCAAGGAGGCAGCTCTGTGCCCAAGCAAGGGTCACTGAGGGGCTGTGCACTCTGCAGGGTTTCTGGATTGCTTCCATCTGCACCCACCTATGTAATGTCATCTAGGCTTTTCCTGTGGCTTTTTCTAGCAGCTGAATGCTAGCTGTGTAGCTGAAGCATCACCTGCCATTTAGAATAAGTTTGTTCTGTCTTGAGGACATTTAGGGAATTTCTTTATTTTTGCTTCTGAAATACTTTTTTTTTTTGTTTATTGCACCTACTAAATAAGGAGCGAGATGACAGGTTGGCACTTCTAACAGCTGTTTTTGCTAACGAGAATAAAAGGTACATAAGCTACAGCTCAATAGCTCGCTGAACATCAAAGCACTTTTCTTAGGAATTGAGCAAACCTGCTAAAGACGTGGGGAGTTGAGAAAGAGACAAGTGCAAGAGAAATGCATTTAGCCTCTAACCCACCACCCCCTGCAGCAGCAGCCTGGACTTCTACATGTGTGCAGAGCCATTGAGCCGGTGATCAGTCACTGCCGCTCACATTGGGTGAGGCAGGGTTTGGCCCTGCCAAAACTAGGGAAAAGCCCTAGCAGGGCATACAGACTGTTCCTTTGCCAAAGGAGGATACTGTGTTTACCAGTGCTTTGCCCAGTTGACTTATACATCAATAAAATGAGTGAAGCTTTCACCCTTCAGAAAACATCCCTCAATCTCAGAGTGCTTCCTGGTACAGAAATGCTTGGCTTAACTTTGAACTCCCTTTCCAAAGCTTTAATGCAGTCATTCTGACTCTTTGGTGGGGTTCTTTTTGTTTGTTCTTTAAATGTACATTGCGTGGTTGTGTGGGTCCAGTACAGCAAATCAGCAGGGAGGTGGATGTGATGGACTGAGTACTTTGAGGTGACAATGCCTTGGTCACAGACATGCAGTCATGAAGGAGAACTAAATATACCTGAGGTGTTCCTTGCAGTTTGCATATCACCAGGGAGGAGAAAGCTAGATGAGCCAGTGTGCTCATCAAGAGTGAGATGCAGGTTGTCTTCAGGAGGTGGCATCCCCAGGCAGAAGAGCAGAGTTACCCAGTCCGGCCCCATTCCCCTACATGAGGAATTGCCCTGAGCCTGAGCAGGGCAGGCTGCTCTCACCACTGGTGTTTTAGCCAGGGAGATCACACAATGCTGGTGTATGCACAAAGGGCCAAGTGCTGTCAGTGCAGCTTGATGAAGAGCAAAAAGGACAGGAAGGCATGAGCTGCCTCGAGCCTGGAGTACACTTGTCTGTTTTCTATTGGCTCCTTGGTGGAAATGTGGCAGAAATCACAGGAGGATATACCTCAGTTTCATAGACCCACACTGAATCTGCAGTCCTTGAACTTTAGCTGAGCCATAGACAATTTATGTGAAAGCGCATCCATAGACACCAGCGATGTCTTTGGAGGAACATTAACCTGGTCCTTCTAAACAGCTGAAGTGGCGCCTGGCAGAATCTGAGAATGGCTGGGGCTGGGTCAGCACAAAGAGGGCTTCCTGTCTTTTTTCAGGAGGTGGTTTCACTCTTCAGCATATATTTTTTTCCATCACGCCTTTCTAGGATAGGCTATCAAATCTCTTTTGCCCGTACCCAAGATACTAGTATATCTTTACAAAGTACCTACCCAGATGTGGGGTGGACCTGGGGAGCAGGATGGTTTCCAGGGTAAATGAGTCCTATGTAATGCAAAAATGAAATACAGCCATAACTTCTGTCTGATAGGCTTTCAGCTCCAGGTCTGCCTGATTTACACCATTGAAATACATTTCCACTGAAGGAAAGGGACTGTGCCACCCTTCAACACCTCCTAGAATGCATAGTTACTTCAAGCAAAAGTCAGGGAAAACCAGTGTATTTTGGCCTGCTGAGACTCTCGTGCCTGCAGGATTGATGGCTGGTGGTAGCAGAGGCTAGAGCTGATGTGATCTTTAACTAATCTAAACCACAGTTGTCCTTGACACCTTCCAGTACTTAGTTGCCAGCCAGGCAGCCCTGGTGCTCCGCACAGGGATGTGATCCTGCCGACCCCTGCCTTTGCAGCTGGTGCTGGAGCCACACTGACTGCAGACGAGCAAGTTCAATGTGTGAGTCCAGCTGGATCAATAATTAATTCCCTCCTGTTTAGCAAAAAATAGATGCTCTCTTTGTCAGCACCTGCATACTTTTTGCATTGCTCTTGCCCTTCCTCTCTTCTTAGAAAGGATGTGGATAATTCTTGTTTGTGCAAGGGTCGGTCCCAGCTATGTTGGTTAAACTAAACTAAACTGGTGCATTTTAGAAGTAGGTTAAGGGCCCTAGGAGAATGACCTATTTTTGTTGGTAATGCAGTTGCAGTACAGCAGGATTGCTGTGCTGAGGCAGACCAGGGGATAATCTACCCTGCTATCCCATCTCGTGGAGCAGCCAGTGCTGTATACCTCAGCACAGGGTGGAACCCATCCTTGTTCTGCATCTGGTTTTGTGCTTCCCTGGGAAGTGTGGGAATATTTACACCTGCTGTATGGTGCTGACAGTGATTAAAGAAAAGCTTGGGGAATCGAGGTGATTATCTCCATCTTAAGAGGACAGTGTGGCACAAGGAGAGGATGACCCAAATCCACCATGGCACTTAGCACACAGTGGGGACAGCATATTCAGAGGGCTGCAGTCAGCAGGTGGGGTCCTGGGAAGCAATACTGTTTTTTTCTCAGCTCCATTCCTTCTGCATCCTGGCTGCATCCAGCTCAGAGGGCAACAGTGTAAGTTCCAGGAATCTAATTGGCATCTCTGAATCAGTCCCAGGGATCTGTGCTAACAGCCCGTGTCTTGCTTGCTGTCATCATGGGCCTCCAAGGGGCTCCCTTAAGAAACTAAATGAGTTAAAAACAATTTTCAGCCAAAAGGTGAGCGTAATTGGCCGTGTCTGTTTAAGATCTGAAAGATCATGGCTGATTGGAGACCACATGCTTAAGCTGCACAGTGGATAATTCTCTGCTTTTCAGTGGTACAAAACCCTGTTTCCCTCTTTCTTCGATGGTTAAAATTCTACTAGACCAAAAAGCTGCTGGCCTGGGCTGGCCACAGCTGCCCCATGACTTGGATTAGCAGAAGGGAGCGGGGAAGCTCTGCTCCTGCAAAAGAGGGGAATGAAAGGAGCACGACTTGCTGTGGGATTGCCTTGGGGATGCTGCCTGGAAGACGGAGCCATCAGCAGCCTTCCTGGAAGAGATGTGTTTGTGGGTGCAGGCAACTCACTGCAGGTTGTCACATGTTCCCCTGGGGCTGTGGTGGCAGTCACCCCATGTAGGTGGGGCGGTGGCATTCCATTGCTAGTTAAGGGAGACCATGATGGAGGTGCCCAGCTAGGGGTTGTGCTTGTCTTTGCAGTGCTCTGACTCTGAAGGCTTTGTAAATCCTTCCAGTTTGAATACTGGTTAATGAAATTGTTAGGGACACTTAATTATTTGAGGAGTGTAATGCTTTTGTGTTACTGTTTTTTGTAGGTCCTTGAGGTCCATGAAAATTTGGACAGGCAAATGCAAGACAACTATGAAGAAGACCTGAGTGAAAAGGAGAAGGCGATTGTTCGTGAAATGTGCAATGTAATAACTCCTCTCAGCAGCTCTAGGGGTTTCTTTGGTGTCCTTTTGTTACAAGAACAGAGCAGCAGGGGTCTGCTGTGTACAAGGCCCATCAAACACGATTTGAGATCCACTGGCATAGGGGAAGAGAGGAGGCTGTGCTGACCAAGGCTCTGGGTATCAGTAACTTGAATTCACTGCACAGAGCAGCCTTTGCTGTGGCATATGCTTCCCACTCTGCTGCCTTCAAGGGTGCAGAGCAGCTAGTCCAGCTGGCCTAGAGCTGTGCAATGGGCTCTCCTTGGCTTGGAGAGTCCTGTTAGGATTTGACTCCAACTTAGGGGATGTAGTTTGGGCTGAGCAGCAACTAGTTACAATTTTTAAAGCTATACAGCTTGAATGGCTTTGAGCCTAAACCATAAGATAACCACAGAGGGAGAATATTCATGTCTGAAGCAGTTGAACATCATGACGTGTGGGATGTTTTTGGCACTTCCAACATGGTGGGCAACCACACTGTTACCTGAGCTTGCCACATCCTGTATGATGAGCATTTGTACCAAACCTCTGCTCTGCAGTCTCTGCTGCTGTGGCACTGCCTCCAGCTTCAAAGCACCTTGGCTACACTTTGGCCTTGACCAAAGAGTTTGGGATTTCTGTCAGAACATGACTCAAGCTGCATGTTGCCTGCAGTCAGGGATTTGCTGCTCAGCCGTGTCAGCAGTGCCCACAGCAGAGAGGAGGATACTTATGGAGCCTTCTCCTTTAGAATTCCTCCTTGGTGATCAGCCCAAGTGGCACTGGCTAATGCCTCACAGCAGCAGAGAGGAGCCTAACCCTCGGTTTAAATTCTAAAAACCACCCCAACCCTAAAAAGAGAATGTAAAGAACACAACTGCATCTTGCAGAGCTAAATCACTGCAATCATCCTTGGCAAGGGCTGAGGCACTTTGCTTTGGTTGCTGGATCCCTATAAGAAAAGCCAAGACCAGAGGAAAAGAGGGCCTCCTTTTGAGGGTGTTTTGTCTGCTTAATGCCACATTCCTTTGCAGACACACATGGGGAAGGGTAAAGTGCCATAACTTTATCCTCCCAAATGGATTGATTTCTGTTTGTGTATCATCAGCTGCTTTTTCCTTAAATATTAATTTTATGTAGACTCAAGGCAGCTATGAAGTGCTTTGCATTTTCTAAAATGTATGTTTTTAAGAAGTCACACACACACACATATATATATATATATAAAAAATTTAAATCGTTATCTTTTTCATTACCTTTTCTGTTCAGCGTAACATCATTTCTGTAAGCATGGCAGGCTTGACCTAGCATTGAACTTAACTACTGAACCTAGCATATTTGTTTTATACTATTACCCCAGGCAAAAACGGTTCTAATTTCAAGAGAGACTAATTAGAAAAATGCATCAATGTTTTTTTTCCTTGGAATCTGGAGCACAGATGCCATCCAGGGGCTCTGCTGAGAATTGCAGCCCAGCTCTGGGAAACTGCTCGTTTCATTTTCAGACTGCAGTTATAAAAATACTGCAACTCATCAGAAGCTTTGGGGGTTTTTAAAATTCCTATCTTTCTCTATCCCACCTCTTAATTTTCTCTTACAGGTCGTCTGGCGAAAGCTGGGTGATGCTGCAAGCTCCAAACCTTCCATCAGGCAACATCTTTCAGGAAACCAGTTCAAGGGTCCCTTGTAAGAACACCATCCAAGAGGCTGGAAGTGATTGATTCTGTGAAGACTAAAGAGGCAGAGCTCAGCATTCCTGGCTGACTGTTCTTGGGGAGCTGGGGTTGAGTTTTTTTCAGGGTTTCCTTTTTTTTTTTTCCCCTTGTTTTGGGTTTTTTTTGAAACAATAGTGTAAATATGGCAGCTAAAGGCCTGATTTCCAGGCTGTGGTGCTCTGGAACTACTGTTCAATGGGTAACCATCCAGTAATGCCAGACTTGCATAATTTGTATTGTAGTTCAAACCTGCTTTGTTGTAATGGTCTGTTTGTAGAATTAACTAACTTGAGAGAATTTCTAAGAGGAACAAGAAGAACCCTTAACCTGTGGAGAAGTCACGGTTTGTATCCCTCCAGTCCACTCACTTGTCAATGATTCATAGCTGGGTTAGTGGCTCCAGGCAGCACCTTCCAAGGAAAGAGCAATTTGAATTAATTGGCTTACAGCCTGCCAAGTTCCTGAGCTGCAAACACCTTTTTAGGAGGTCCTTACTGTACAGTAAAGAGTGGAGAGCTAAAAGCACTGGTACACTTTGTAGGTTGCACGGTGGTGCTCATCACACAAGTCTGCAGAAAGGCTTAAGACTCTGTATCAGCTGTTAATGAACTGTTTTTAATGAACAAAAGATATAAGATTTTTGCAGTTGTCATGTGAATGAAGTCACATGCCAGTATTCCCTACAAATACAGCAATGCTTTACCTGTAAAGCTTTTACTACAAAGTAATTCAGCAGAACGTGCTGGCCTAACAGTGCTTATGACTTTCACAGGATCTTTGAGAGCAGCTCATCTTTTACATAAGGAAGATTTTGTTGGGTTTTTTTTAATGTTCTTGCTGGATCCCTCACCTATACTTATTCCTGTGTAAGGTATCCAAATAACAACCTTGCAGAGCTGAATAAAAACTCCATGAACACAGGCTGTCGGTTGAGACTACTTCCTGCCATTCAAGCTTTATTTTTGTTAATGAACCAAAACAAGTGGGTTTTTCCTTCTTCTAATGGTTGTATATAAAACAATGGGACTTATATTTTGCAATTGTGGAGTAGCTGCTTGTATAGCCGTAAGAATTTGACTCCTTTCTTTTCCAAGTTGTCATAGCAGCTGTCCCTGTATTTCATTAGATGTTCTTTCCTAATAGTCAAAGGAAGCGGGACTTGGTTATTAAAATACTTGGTGTAAAAATTTTTTAAAGACAGCCATGTGAGAAGATCAAAGCCTCCTCTTCAAAAGTTGCATCAATTTAACGATTATTTCAAAGATTTAATGACCTCAGACACCATCACTTTCTTTTTGTTCTCCAAGAGAATCAGTCACAGCTGCAGACAGCTGAATTAGCTGGAGAGATTCTTCCTCTTAAATTACTTTGTTCTACCAGTTGAGTTCTTGACTTGTGGTATTGTATTCACATGGAGCACTGATATAATAACAAGAAGCCCATGCAGCAAGTTATGGAAGGTAATTGGAGCCATGGCATGCAATATTCTGGCTGCCTGGGTAAAGAATTTGGAGTGTATGAGCTCAGATCTGGAACCAGTAAAAAAACAGAGAAGGAATACAACCAGAATACATAGTAACCAGGAAGAGTAAGCACGACATCATTATTTATTGCAGAAATAAAACTGTAGCAGTCAAGATTAAGAAGCTATATGAAAAAAAAATTACACAAACCAGGAACCACCCTCAAAACTCACGCTCTTACTCACACACTCACCAGTAGTTTATTTCTTACTAGTGCTCCTGCAGCAAAGCTGAGCTTGCTAACTCCAAGTTCAGTAATATTTACATTTAAGGTGTCTGGAAAAATCCATGATAGAGCCTGACTGCCTCATTTAAAATATGGCACCTTTGTGGATTCCAGATTTCTTCCTCTTTGCTTTTTGTTTTGACCTCCAGTTTCTAGTCACTATTAATTACTTGTCTTCCTCCTGTACAATTTATACCTTGACATTTTCGTACCAGAAAAGGTGATGTAAAGCAGAGGCATCATTCTTCCTTACTGGCTAATGTTGAACAGAGGGTTACTTTCATCTATCTGCTTGAAAGTCCCTTTTAATTTTGGTGGTATCTAATCACTGGATTAAGCAGAGAATTTAAGCATATTGGGAACAAGGTTAATTTAAGTCTGTGACTTTTAGCTAAAGCAATGCAAATGTTGCCAGCACTTGTAGTTAATTGTGTTGATGACGTGCTTGCTATTTTTGGAGTATATTGGACTAGCAGGTCCTCTCAACAAGAGCTGTACTAATCAGATTACTAGTCTCACCAGCTATGTAATTCTCATTCAAGTATTCCCTGCTATCACATCTCTCTCAGTATGTATCCAATGACTTCAAGCAAAGCTGGTTTTGTTCCACCCACAGATCTCACCTACAAGGGAAGTAAGTGCTGCAAATCCTGAAAAGCTGCTTCACTGGGTAGCCAGTAGTTCAACGAACAGTCTTGATAACCTTAGGGTATATCCTATGTCTTTCAGATTCCATTTGGCAGCATAAATCTTCAATGAAAGATCTGCACCACTGATTTGGCAGGATGTGGCAGTGCTGTATGCTGGGGTGTTCCTTTTGCAAGGTTTTAAGGGTCACTTCATACCTAGCTCCATTTGAGCTTGAAAGTGTCTTCCTGAGGTAAAATGATGCTCAATGACTTTACAGGATGACTTGGGTACTGAATTTTCAGTCGTCTAAAAAGGTGTTTTACATGCCTATTTAAATTGACTTACCTGTGAGCTGTCTTCAGTGAAAATTACTTGAGGAGCTTTGTACACTAAGAAAGGAGCATCCCCTGAAATAGTGGTCATTAAATTCAAGTATTTGGGGCAATAGACTAAGTTTATTTTCTCAAGATGGAAGCCCTGGGTTCTGCAATCCTCTGGCAAAGAAAGCATCCACTGTTTACAAATGGACTTTCCTTGCTTAAGGGAAGTGAAATCGCATCCTTGACTTCTGTGGGAGTGACTGAAGTGAAGAGCATTTCCATAGTTTCTGAAATGCCGTGGTGTAACCAGCTCCAGTTGGCTCTCTGCACCTTGGTAAGACTGCTGAGCACAACCTTGTTCGAGAATGGCACATTTTTATCCAAATAGATATTAAAAGAAATCAGTGTTAAAGTGACCTTTTATCTTTTTAGAAGCTGTAGGGGAAGAGTACTACTGATCTTTTTCAAAGTGCATGACTGTAAAGTGATAAAATTGTATATTTTTCATAATGTGGGGAAAGTCTATTTGTGCTGCTTTAGAAATCAGTTTAAAGTTTGATTTCTGTTAAACCTGTGATCTTACAGCCCTGCTATATTTTCTGTATATGATTTACAAAGAACTGGAAAAGTTAGCACCTGCTGTTGTGTATATAGCAAAATTCTTCAGACCTTAGCACGCGTTTTTACCTATTATGGAACCACTCTGGCTTTTTTGGGGAGGGAAAGTAATAGTACAGATTTTTTTGATAATGTGTGTAAAACATTCATTTGAAATATTTTAGTAAAAATGAAGTAAGAGATGGATTGTGATAGTGTATACTTCTAGTTGAATAAAATAAAAGACATTCTTTTTAAATAAACTGATGAATAAGATTTGGGAGAGCACTGCTGATGTATCTTGCAATAAGTACCATAGTTATGAATTCTGAACTGGTATGAAAAACCTGGAAACCCACTAAATTCAGAACCAATTTTATTTGGGTAGATGTGAACAAAGTAGTCCCATTTATAACCAGGATGTACATCACAGTATGTTGTTACATTCAGACTTTCACACTTAGAAAATATATATATTATGTACAGGAATTTGCAAATAGGTGTAAACATACAATACTTTAAGATACCAGTACATTCCAAAACAAAAATACCAGCAAGGCAAACACCTCAAATGATTCCAGTCAGCTAGCATTCAGAATCTCTTAAATAAAGTAGCTTTTATGCTTGACATTGTGTTGTTTTAATTATTACTAATAATGGAGTTTCTTGCTATAGCTCGAATTTAATGGTATCTGGCTATTTTGATAACCCAAAAATAGGCACTGATTTCTAGAAGGAAATTTTCTTCTTACTGATATAATTGAGCCAATATGGCTGGTTTTGCTAGTATAAAGTAATCCAGTGCTGGAATAACTCAAGACAATTTAAGTCAAATGTATAAAGTTAGAATAGATACTGCAAAGCTGATTAAAATCTAGAAGCCTATATAACTCACCATAAACAATACAGCAAACAGATCAGCTAATTTTTTAATTTCATTGTCTCATTCTTCATCTAAATTTTACATATTACCCTCCTCTTCATCTTTACAAAGTAGGTTTTGGCTAGCTACCCCTGCCTAGACAACATAAAGGGATGTTGTGCAAATTACCTCATGCTATCTCATCCAGGTAGCACGTCCAAGTCCTGCTACAGGTGGCATACCAGGTGGTGGAATTGGAGGTGGCACAGGTGGCTGTCCACCTGGGGGAACAGTAGGCGGGGGGTAACTAGCTGGTGGCATTCCCAGCCCTGGAGGTGGTGGATGAGGTGGTACTGCATGAGTTGGAGGCAGTCTTGGAGGTGGGAAATTAGGATTGTATGTAGGTGGAGGAGGATATCCAGGAGTAGGAGGTGGAATATTGGGTGGGGGGAATGAAGCGGGGGGTGGAGGTGGAACTGGTGGTGGAGGGTTGGGAGGATAGACATGAGGATGGTATGGTAGATGAGCTGGTGGTCCGTAGGCCGGTGGTAAAGCTCCGTAAGTTGGTCCTTCTGTTTTCATCATTGACTGAAGACTTTGATAACCCTCTCCTGACATATAAGAATTTGTAGTAGACATCCCTGTAATATAACTGCTGGGGGGCGGGGGTGGGGGACGATGTGGCAGAGGGGGAGGGTGATGTACTGGGGCATAGGTTTTGGCTAGCTACCCCTGCCTAGACAACATAAAGGGATGTTGTGCAAATTACCTCATGCTATCTCATCCAGGTAGCACGTCCAAGTCCTGCTACAGGTGG